CCCCAAAACCCCAAAACCCCAAAAACCCCCTATGATAATTAATTAAAAAAATAAATTTAGCAAATTTAAAATATATTGCTAAGTAAATGCCATTATACCAGAATTTGCTTATATCTATTTCAAATGGGTAACAAACAACAAAAATACCCTTTTATAGAACTTGGTAAAATTCCTAATTTCTTTTAAAACATCACTTAATCTATAATTGTAGCTGCACATAAAATAGATAATTTATCAAAAGGAGAACTACTTCTTGGAAATTCTATGCTTAGCCTAGTTGAGCTAGAACAACAAGATTTTACAAGATCATTAGATTTTTCAGTTATCAGCCCTGTAACTCGATAATCTAAAGAAGGATCTTCAATCCTCATTCTAATTTTACAGCTTTTACAGTCAAAAGCACATTAATTGAAAGTATTCAAAGGCATTTTAATCTCAAATCATGGTGATTTGTTCAATAAGGTATTTCCTTTAGTTTTATATATTTAAAGACAAAGTGTTGTGCAATTCGTCTTATTAACAACTATTGCACCTAATATGCTTTTATTAGCATCTTATAAGTTATTTTTAGATTATTCTATATACTCTGATCCGAAGTAATAGATTCTTTGATTACAAAAATCAACCAAGTATGGTATATAAGAGGTCTTTGATTTCCATAGGTGGATTGTTTAGTTATTGTACCTAAATCAAAGCTGAAAATAAGATTCTACTTATGATGGCATGATACATTACTTCTTATTCAATTCAGTTTTCTCATCTATAATTATCCAGCTCTTATCAGATTTAGGCTCAAATATTTCGTATTAGCTTTTATCAGTAAATAATCCGCATAAAAACTTCTCAAAGTATCAAGGCTACTTCTCCATTATCATTTCATTTATTCCATAAAGATACTTTTCTATTGGAGTGAGAGCTTCAAATAATTGATGTGTCAACATGTATTTCCTTTCAATACCACCTTGATCATAATTTGATATTTCATGAGGGATAATCGTTTTGGATAGCTGTTCCAATCTAAAAACTTAATTTCAAACATCGTTTTCTATATGCGATTAGATTTACTTTTTAGTCTTTAAAGGTATATTGTCGTTTTTTAGAAAAAAATTATATGTCTCTGAGTTTCCATTATCTTTAAGTAGAATAAAGTCCTCTGCCTCATTATAAGTTAGAGTTACATTACTGTTATTAGCATTAGTGATCTAGTTTGCTTTAGATGGATCTTTTTTTTCCTATTGCTCTTTTTATTTTTAACTTCTAAATGATGGCAGGCTATCTTTCTAATTACTGAGTACTGAAGCATCTCTTATAAAGGGTTTTTCATTAATTTGATTCTTCAATTAGAATTATGATGGTATTTGATGTAATTATATTTTCTATGGAACATTTGCTGTTGCATTATTTTACTTAAATCTTGAAGAAGTTAATAATGATAGAGGCTTAACGTCAAAAACTTTATTTGAATTTGTTGAAATAGTAATGACTGATGAATGAGTGTCTGGGTTCAATATTGGATTGACATTCTTCTTAAGTCGAGAAGAATTTAATTATTTTTTAAGAAGATTATTTTATTGAATCAATTTTTTTCTTTATTTTAAAACATCTGCTATTGAAAGTTAATTGTCGTTTGTATCATAAGTATCTTGCGTTTTTATTCTTCCAATATTACTGTCATAGTCTATTTCTTAGATTATAGGCATCTATTTAGAAGGTGATTTCACCAAATTAAAAGTTTTCAAATCCTTATTGAATTGATTAATTTGTTATTACCTATTTAACTTCTCTAATTCCTTTTCTACAAGAGATTTCTTTATGGTATAGATATGATCATCTTTACTAGATTCTTATTTAAATATTTCCTCATTTTCAAGATGATAGTTAACATTGATGTTTAATTCAGATTGCTCATTCTTATCTAGATCTATCATGCTCATTGAGTGAGTATTTCTCCATAAGCTCTCATCTTTTTAATCTTTCCACATGTTTCCACCTCCATGGGAATATTATCCTCTTTTATTATTCAATTTTTTCATTTCGCAATTTATAATCTTAAAAAAATGCTCTTTTCTTTAATTTTATTATTAACTTAATTATATTGCCTAAGTAATAAGATTTTGGAATTATGGGGTTTTGGGGTTTTGGGGTT